TTAATTTGATTAATCGCATTATATGCGTCACTGTAGCTTAATGGCCAAGAGTGAGTTGGACTAGCGGACAAGTTAGGTTAATGTCATTAATTAGGTTGGCAACAATAGGCACACTAATACCGTGCTTGATATTTCAGGTGAGGAACCGTAAGAAAACTTTTTTTTCCGATAGCAGCAACAGAAAATATGTGAAAATGTATATAGTTATAATTCATAGTTATATTTATAACGACGCCTTAATCAAAGCTTTTTTGTCCACCTATGGGCAACTCCTAACCTTCCAATAAGCACGTCAAGTCGCGTCCTGGGGAAATGATAAATTATTTGGATCAAGAACGATAGAAGAAGAAGAAGCACAGAAGTTTGATCAACTACTAAATAAAATTGTATTTGCCTCACTGACAAAGGGTATTTTGCGTATTAGTTAGTACAATAAAGAAAAAGTTAAATTCGCTTTGACATGGATAAAAGTTACACATATTTATAAAAATAAAATTTAAGCTTAATTGTGTGACTAAAGATGGTAAAAAACGTTACCCTATTCACCTGAAAATCGTCATAAATGAAACTAGCTTTCATTTAATTGAATTTGTAACATACAGCCTTTTCTCTCTAGTGTGTATACACCCTAATTTTTATTTCACAGTGAAAAGTAACGCTCGGGCCATTAGATAACAGACTCCATGTTACTTAGCCATAAGTGTCAAGTTGAAGTGGCTAACTCTGTTCGGTGTATCGCGTTATTTCATTTCTATTTATTAACGTAGCGTACGTTAATATAAGTGTACGAGTACTATGCACCTTTGAAACCGTTAAGAGCGGTTGAATTTTTTAATAAGGTTGACGCTATATATTTCGGTCGACAGGTGTGGTCAATTCGGTGTAATATTTTATGACGTCGAATTGATTTTTATGCTTTAAAAAGTATGTATGTGTAGTATTCGGCAGGATAGGAGACATAGTTGTGTGTCTGTTTCAGGTCGTTGTGACTATTGTACTCGTCAGTTGTTCCTGGGAAACCGTAATAAAATGTCCTCGTATATTTTTCATGACATGAAAATTGAAGAAGTAATCCCGTCTCACTCAACACTCCTCAAAACCACTTGAATCACAGGGTTGAACGACTTAACCGCGTAGTTAGAATGACAAAATAGAATTTTCTTAAACTTAACATTTTATTTCATAAATAATAAAACATTGATATGAATTAACTTAATTAAATAAAAAAAAGTTTCACTTTTAAAATGTTACACACGTTTTATTTCTAGTCAAATTTCAGTCACAATAGCGCGAATCTCAAACAATTGCAATATCAGGACAATGTAAACCATTTTTAGTTTTATTTCATTGACTTGTTTTAAAATGATTTTTAAAGTTGAGGTGTTTAAACATACGAGTTAAACTTAACGCCTGAGGCGGGACATACTCGTACGTAGGAAATATTTGCGGAAACGAATTAATAATAATAGTCACATCAACGCGTAAACAAACATTTAACATATAGTTAAAATACCTTGATTTTCTTGACCGCCTCTGTAGCTAAATGGTTAAAAGTGGAAAGAGGTCGGGCAGGGCACAGAAGTCTGATCACTGATATTTTTGCACAACTTGCTGGTAAAAATAAACTATCAGTGAAACGGACGCAGAAATGTGTTCGCCCCATGCCCCACGGCGGAAGCGGGATTTTTTTTATACCGTGAAGTTCTCTTTACAACAACTACCTACTACCGGTGTAGTATAGTAAAGTAAGTCTCTAAAATTCACCTTCGCTTAAACAGTACAAAGTAAGCTAAAATGTATAAAAATGTGAATCCTCTAAAATTAAAACTCAAAGTATAGAAATGTAAGAAATCATTTCAGCTTAGTTGCAAGTTACATTAGTAGATGTTAAGTATACATCTGTAGTCTGTGGTTTACACGAGCAGTACACAACTAAATTATTCTAGATTACTCGTATTAAAAAATAAAAGTATTTAATTTAGTAAAAGTTTGTAAACTATAAAATCGGAAGAACAACGGAATTCAAATTTGAATTAAACAAAATATCCGATAAAATTGATCGCTAATTATTGCTTTTAATATCCATTAAAGTTTAATTATTATACTCGGTATTAATTTGATCGAAAAATACAATTCATTAATTTACTATGACATCATGAGCAGATTCACTTAATACACAGGCCGCATGAAACTAACGTGAATTAACTTGTATAAAAGTACATATTAGTGCACTCAAGTGCAGAATGATTTAATAAACTCATTTGTTCTTTCAATAACATTTTTTCGCAGATGGTTATATAGTTTATCATGATAGACGAAGACAGATAAGCATGGGATTTATACCTTATAATATTATAGCAAAATGCGCTGTCGACCTGTTTTAATAAACATAAAATTTAATTTAAAATCTATTTTAAATTGAAAATTGTTTACGACCCGGGCAGGACTTGAACCGACATCCACAGTTCCTTGGTATTGCTCTAATCCATTGGGCTACCGTGAAAAATAATAAAACTTTCAAAGACAAAATTTACAAGAGCCTACTATTGTTTTTCGTTATTTATTAATTTTATTTCATATACCCTTGATTATTCTGACGTCGTTTCCAAGACCGTTAAAAAAGTATGGTATTTATTTTAAGGGAATAAAATTCTTCATTAACGTAGAAAGTCAAATTTAGCAGCATATAATTGTCAAGATATATACAACATCATTATGAACCCGTTGAAGAAGTGATGTGTTTAGATTTCGTAGAATGTACTTTGGTGCAGTAAAGACTCAGTATCTTTATTCGCGGGACTTACAATTGCGTTGAATATTTTCTTTCAAGTATCACTCCTTCAGAATGTCTGACATGGAGGTTTAATTTAAATCATTGGCAATATTTTCATTCGGCTGGGGCAAATGAGTGGAATATATTTTTTTGAGTGCATGTATCCTATATCATTAGAATATTTCAAATATATTACGCAAAATGAGCTTCTAAAACGTCCTTGATATATTTGTTGCATCAAATTTTCGAATCAGCAGAACGTTTAAACCAAATCACAGCTTCTTTTAGGTTAGGTATGGATTATTCTTATAATAAATTGTGTAAGGCTTTCGCGGCCATCGTGCAGCATGTCATTGTTCTTCGGGCTAAATCAAGAAATATGATAATTCTTCGAGCAATCGAGGAGTTAACATCTCCTGATGGTGCCGTCCACACGTGATAGCGAAACATCAGACCTCTTCTCGCGCACATCGGCCGAACAGCCCGAAAGGCAGTGATATGCTATTCTTATAATGTTTTTAAAAACTTACATTTTAAAACTTTTCATCGACTTTTTTATGCAATAAATATAGTACCTACTTGAATATAATATTTGCCTGGAAGAGATCGCTCTATAGCGATGAGGCCGCCCATTGCACTCTATAACTGGTGAGAATAATGTATCTTTAAAAATTGTATTGTTAAGAATAGTTTTAAGGAATCATGTTTCATCACTTTGTGTTGCAATGAAGAATAAAATAAATAAATATATAATAATAGAAAAAAACATGAATAACATAGAATGGATTTAAATATTTAAATGTGTACTACTCGCGTAAGCTATATACAGTATTTAACATAGAATGGGTTTCTACTTCACTCGCACTGAGGGCTTGGTACAGCTTGCAGTTTCTTTGAACTGTCTATGAATTCTCAGAATTTCCGTCACTGAGCCAAAGTAATGCTTTATTGAAATAAGCATACTGCTACAAGTGAGAATCTTGTATGCTATCAAAGCTTTTAGTTTATACATTCTATCAAATAGATGATCTATACTAATTTATATAAAATGTGTCTGAAAGAATGATTACTCTGCAAATGTTCAAAAAAAAATGTCCGCGCCAAATGTCTATCTTTTAATATTAACTTGCAAGATCGTAGGGGACCCGAACGACCGCTCGCAAGCGACGGGATGCGAACGATGTCGTCGATAACAGCTTAAATTTATAAAGATTAATATTTATTTTAAAAGTAAATATTAACAGAGCTGATACAGCTAGTGTTTAAATAAAACACTTTCAATGGTTAAAAATGCAAAATATTTGACTTAAACTTTTTTTGATATATTTAATTTTCGATCTTAAGTTTATACAACGGCTACAAAATAGATATAAAACATAGTCGTCGGTCCAATGGTAAATGTATGATTAATAATCAACGGTCGTGTTTCACGGTTCAATATTACTAAAATTAACGTATATTTTTTCTGAAACATCTTAGACTTCATCTGGAAATCTAGATGTTAAGTGGCAGGAATGATCCGTTGTCTAAGATGAAAATGCCATGAACATTTAGTGAACCTTGTGCTTTTCTGTTCTCCTCTGTCGTTTAAAGAAATCTTGCAGTCAGCTATTTATACGCCAAATAAAAAATCATTGAAGCCATTTAAGCACGGAACAGAGTAACAATTATCCATCCATCCAATGTCACAAATTTTAGTATGTATTTATAATGGTAACGTGAATTGGATTAACACGTCACTTAAGTAAAATGATGTTTAAGTAATAACCGAATTAATCATTACTTATTTTTTACAACTTTTTATTATAATCCGAAAAAAAAAATCAACAATAGCAACATTTATTTTGTAATGGTAATTAGTATCAAATATGTTAAAATGTGTTAGCAAGTGTAAGTATAATTTTCCTTTTCTTTAAATTACAATATAAGATAATATTTTGTATATAATATAATAAAAGTTGTTGTCAGTTGAGTCTTTTGTTTATTAAGTTTTAGTCAATTTGAATGTTTTAATAGAATATTCTTATTACTTTATACTTTTAAAGTTGGTGTGGCCACTTTATATTATTTATTAATTTTAAAATTAAATCTAAGGTTAACAATAGCTTATTTCAATTTAGTATGTAACTTATTGCTAGCCTTCAGATTGCCCTCTATGCTCCACGCTTTATCTTAGAATTTGAGTGCAAGAAAGAGCTAATAAATAAAATTATTTCGCGCAACGTACCTGAAATTCCGGGGGCGGTTCGATGGCCGTTAGAATCGCCTTCCCGGGGCCCTTCTTGACGGTGTTGAAGAAGTCGCCGCAGATCCGCTCCGAAGCGTCCGTGGACTCGCATAGAGACAGGGACCGCTCGTCAAAATCACTCTCCTGCAACTGACGGTGTCGCGAACGACGACGCATCATTAGTTAGCCGAATAGCTGACCGTATGCAACGTGTTGCAACACCGAGCGCCGGCGGGAGAATGATGCACCAGGCACAACAGGTTGTCCTGGGCACGTACGTCCCTCCCATAGGCGTGAACATATTTACATCGTAGCTTCTTAAAACCCCCGCGGTGCTCGATGTTATAACTTCCCGGGATAAGCAGTCGTTTAATTTCCCGGGTTAGATGGCTCGATTCGAAATATAAATTCAACGGATAAGATTTTTACGACAATATTGGCGGGGTGATTCTATTATCGGTATTAAATCCCGGCTTATAAATAAGACGGAAAATATACTTCGAGAGCGCTTCTCAATACTCAGGTATGTATTTCAATATTCGTTTGCTATAGAGGTGCATTGAACTAGAAATGGTGGAGTACATAATGTGGCTTAGTAAAGGTTAATTAGATGCAGATAACATTATACGTCGCTCTTATCGCACAAATGAAATTTTTATTATGAAAGAAAACAGCACATTGAAGTCGCAACTTTTAATTAATTATTTTAGTTATTAATATACTACATACATATTAAGCATAAAAAAAAACAAGTTAGGATCCTCTTTATATATATATAGAATAAGGCTAAATCGTTTCCCCGTATATTTTACTACCTTTTTTACCGCCACGGGCCATATAATATACTTCAATAATTAACTTACGTCGAACGCTAGCGTGAATTTAGAAAATCTTATTTAATAGAAACTCTGTCGCCATTCGCCGGGATGTTATGATCGATACAGTGACAAATTGACGTGTATTTTTACATAAACTATTAATTTTAAATAACCTTAACAAATCCTACCCGAGAGGCTTAAGTTTCTAATCGAGGAGAAACTATCAATTATTTTGGTCAAGCAAAAATCTGATCAATTACATGCTTCTAAGTAAAAATCAATCAGTGGAGCGGACACAGATATATGTTAGCGCTATGCCACATGGAGATAAACGAGATTTTATGGTTATTATATAACTGCTATGGTAGGTGCCTGTCTTCTATAAACGCCACGTACTTCTTTACTTTTAGATCCTTTTCAGTCGGTAATCGTTTTAACACGCGCAAGACGGCATAATAAATATGGCATTTACCGCCATGTATGTTGACGTGTGAAGACGCGAAGAAGCTGTATGCTAAAACTTTTTGATATGACAGAAGTTACACAAGTAATGGATTCACTCGATACTACTCACTCATAACTACTAATCATACTACGTTGACGTTTATAGGAGAGAAATTACAAAGGACGAGGTGGCAATTGTCATAAAGTTAACGTCGATATTTTATGACACTTTTTTAAACCCTTTGTTTGTATTAATCATATTACATACAGAAAGCATGATTTATGCGCATGCAAAGTCGCGGGCCATCCAGCCATAATGTTTGCATAGTTGAAATAATAACATGGTAGCAAGTAATTCTACAATACTTCAATAGTTGTACGATAGGTAAGTGTTTGATTATGTCAAGTATTTTGCATCGATATCTAAAGCTTCTGAGTATCCACGAGGATATAGTCTTCATTAAAATAATTATAGTTCAACTTCATTACAGTTTTGAAAATATTACGTAAAATTTCGCAAATGTTGTGGAGGTATCTACGGTACGTGTAGTTTTATACCATTAAATAAGCACACAGAAATATTTAAAAAAACTTTAATATACTTCACGTGAGATTGCAGTTAGCATCATTATATGTATAAATTTAAAATCTAGGTTGCAAAAAGTTGTCAACACGCGCGGGCTCTAACCGACATCAATTCCATGGAGACGCAACTGCCATGGTGTCCGTTGAACGCTGTGGATGCCGGTTCAAGTCCCGTCAATGTCGCAAAATTCTTTTAAATCTAGATTTTTGTTGATCCCAAATGTATGTAGCCACTTTAGTAGTGTTTTTGATTAGAATAGTATTTTTTTCTTTATTTGTTGTTTTACCATCAACATAAAGACACAATTAATGAAAACTCAACTTTTAAGATATTTATGACATAAAGCCTAATGAGACTCAGGCAAACGGACGGATGGACAGAATTCTAAGTAATAGCGTTCTTTTTAACCCCTACGTCTATTATGGTACCTTTCCAACTCTTAAGTTATTCTCTCCCCCACTATCTCTGTGCTATGTATTCTTTTAGGACGTACCCTTTCTTTTGCTTGTTATTTCTTACACCTACCCATTTAATAAGTCTTTTTCTTTTCCCCTGTACTTCAGGTTGCCTGGAAGAGATCGCTGCTTAGCGATAAGGCCGCCTTTTATTTATAACTTAGTACGTAAGATGTTTTCTCTTTTTATATGTGTTTTTTCTGTAGTATGGGTTATAAATAATAAATAAATAAAATAAAAATATGATATCCTAACATATGACAAAGGTATTGTTTTAAAAGACAAAAGTGTAACTTTGTGTAGATCTTTAATTAATTTTAGTAATATTTTTATATTCTATAAGGAGGGATATTATAACTTAACAAAAATCCGTTTAAGTAAATACTGTCTGTAGTTTATGCGAGTAATACAAATTTAAATAAAACAATTAACGGTGAGAAACGCGATATATATTAGTTAAACTAATGCTAACCAATTGAACGGTTAGACTCCCCACGACCACGGCTGCTGCAAAGCATCCGAAACATCGGGCCGTACTTAGTGAAAATAATTTTCAAATATATATTGCGTTTTAAGCCGTTTTAGTGTTTTATTTAAAAATCCGTTTCGTTAATAGTAGTTTTGTTATCAGCTGTTGTAATGATTAGTTTATATGCACATGAGTACAGTAAAGCGGTAGTTCGATGTTCGTAGGAAATAACCGCAATTAAAATTATGAAACTTTACAAACTTCGGCATAACAGTATACGCTCCTTACCAAACCGTCACTCAAACGACAAGATCCGTGCTCCGCTCCGAGAGCGGGTAACACGTAGGCACGCTAACGGGATATTACCGAAGGAATTTGTTATTGACAGTTTCCGCTGAGTGACTTCAAGAACCTTTTCGCAGGCACAACAGCTGGTATAAACCAGACATTAACTGGTAAAAATTGAGATTGTAGAGAAATAAATAGCCTGAATTATATTATTCAGAACTTTTAACTGTCTAATTTTTACTGGCATGATCGTGTTTTAGTTAATTTTTCTTTAATATATTCGTAATTAAGAATTTATTCTTGCCATTTCGCCATTACAAGTGGATGTCTGCTGTTGCGGGTCTCAGTCTTAGCTTCGTCGGGGAACGCGGAACAGTATCTGCTGATGTCTACTGTGCTGTGTTTTATTAAAATATAGGATACTCGAATAGATAGATAGACATATAACGAACAGTGGGCAGGGCTCTATCGTTTGGTGTCATAACACATATAACAGGACTTTAGAATCAAATATCTGAAAACACTTTTAATTTATTGATAAACCAATAATAACTTTGATCCCGCAAAAGAACCTTCATCATTTTTACAATTCTTTTGATGCTCCCTCCATTCGACTAAAGAAAGAGATGAAGAGAGAGATGGAACAGAACTATTCATTTTCTAATAATGTTAAGAAGATCACGACGCCGCCTTTGTAAATATTCCGTTGATTTTTCCTCCCGCTGTATGCATTAGAATATGAATCGGTAATAACTCAAAGTGAATCTAGTTATTAGTTTCAGTATTAAGAAAGCATGTCATATACTCTTAATATTTTTTTATTTGATATTCACGACCGCTTCTAATGTAAAACATTACTATAAGCAGTATTTTGATACAAATATGTATTTTTTTACAAATAAATTTTGTTTACAAGTTTGGTCACAATATACAAACCAATAAAGTAACTTAATATTTCAAGTATTTCAGGGAAAAAAAAGATACTTTTACATTTTGGTAAATTCCCAATGTTGTATCTCCACATTTATAAATATTTCGGTTAGATGTTCATAAATGATATAGCATTATAGTGGATGAGAATAACATTTAGCGTAAAAACGTATTTAAGACTGCATGTGATAATTTAATTTCATATCCTTTTCGCAAACAGAACATAATATTTAATTTCGTGTAGCGGACGTAGCCTCGTAGTACATCATTGCTACGCCGTAGCCAGTTACCTGTTACGTCGTAGAGGTGGAAGTGCTACAAATACAAGAGTATTGCATTGAAATATTCAAGAGATAAAATAATTTTCTATTCCTTCGCATCAATTGAAAGAAAATTTCCGGACTGAGGAGATTGATTTGCTAGTAATGACGAGTTTATTGTAAGTCTTCGACTTTGATCATTTATAAATTATTACTACGACTGAATACAAGGAATTGATAAACACGAACGTACTTTGAATGCTTAACGACTGTGTACATTTGTCTATAGAAAAAAGTAGACAATATTTAAAATATAATCAAAAAAATTACATTTTTATAAAACATTCGCAGTAGATTTAAACATTTGTTTGCATTGGTATAAAAGTTGAGGTACAATTTAGATTTGTAATTCGAAGCAAGATTAGTAAATAATATATTTTTTTACAAAAGTAATGTGGTGGCAGATGAAAAAGTCGGAAGAATAATCAGTTTAAAATCAATATAAGCAACATCGTAATTATTAAAACATTTCTACAACAAAGTGAAATTTATTTAACAGTGACGTCAATATCAATAATCATAATAATATATACCTTTTAGTCAAAACATTTCATATTGAGTTCGATGTTTGAAACATATAATAAACATGTAAAATATATTCCGTCATGTTACAAAATAAACAAATACGGCGTTATTGAAATTGTGGCGTAGTCATTTGATAGATAGTTTCAGGCCAAATAAAAATAATGAAAACAAAAAAATATATATGTCAAAAAAGCGAGGGTTATGGATGAAATAGCCCAGCTATATAATGTCTGATTTTTTTATGGTCATTGAAATATTTTAAGACAGACACTGAAACGCGGTTATGTTCTCAGCTTTTCGTTCATGAATAACGGTTTGTACCACCTCTTTAATATCAAGATT